GGGGGGTTGGGGGGGAAAAGGAGGGGGGGGGGAAAAGGGGGGGGACCCCCCCCCCCCCCCCCCCAAAAAAAAAAAAAGGGGGAAAAAAAAAAAAAAGAAAAGAAAAAAAAAAAAAACTCCCCCCCCCCCCCCCCCAAAAAAAAAACACCCCCCCCCGCGGGGGGGGGGGGCCCCCCCAGGGGGGGGAAAAAAAAAAAAAAAAAGGGCCCCAGCCCGCTCTTATCCTATATCATTCTGAGATTACATACATCCAATATAAGCACAAGTTCTAGCTGATTCTAAGCTCTCCCGCTAAAAATATTCCAAATAGTAGAGCTAGGAACCAGTTTAACTGAGGTTGGAACCAGAGAAATTGCCACCGTTGCCGAACCCTCACAATGTTCTTCAACCTTCCACCTCCATCCTGGTCCTGCTGCTGCTGTTGTTGTTGCTTTTGTCTAATTGAAAGTTAAATAAATTTTTGGTAACTTGTGCAGAAATTTTGTGCTGCTGCAGCAGAGTGCTGCTGCTGCCCCATAGAGAGTCCAGTCCTGTGGGTAGAAGATGCCCCAGCAGAGTGGAGAGTGTGTCCAGGTTGATTTCTGTCTGTTGATATTTGTCGGGTGCCAAAACTATTTACTAAATGGTCCCAAATTTAATTGCACAATTACGAGTATTACAATCACGTACTTGGATTATTTCCCAACAAATGCAAATAAGAAGCAGCATGTGGATGTGGATGTGCGATTGATGTTGGGTGCTTGCTGTGGGCTTGTCTTTCGGTCAACTATAATTGCAGGAGTATTATTTATTGGGTCAGAAGGGAACAGTAGAAGCCTATCGCACATTCACTTGCAAACATTCATACACACATACATGTATGTATGCACATACCTACATATATTCCCTTTCCCCCATTGCCATTCCCACTCCCACTCCCACTCCCACTCCCTTGCTACCTCGTAGAGGGGACCACCTTCTCCATTTCCATCCCACATCCACATCCCACGCATAGACCGCCTCAATATTTACTCTTTGTACTTGCAAAAGAAATTGTACTAATGGAATTATTTCATTTTGGGTGGAGGTGGGCGAGAGCGAGAGTCCAGAAGAAGAAGGCAGTGCCAGAAGGAGGGGAGGGCAGAGAGTTCTGAGAGAAAGAGAGTGGGACTTGCGTCGCATCGCATCGCGTCTCGTTTTGTTTTGTTTGTCGTTTTGATTTACTTTTGGTTTTTGATTTTTTCTCCTCTCTCCTCTCTCCTTTTTCCGTTTTACGAGTGTACCCAGCACTCATTGGGTTGCTCCGCATTCGTATTTGGATATTGCAGATTGTAATAGCAATAGTAAGGGTAAGGGGGCTAGCTGTGTCTGCTATATGACTGAAATCGGATCTGTTAATTATTATTTGATTATTATTATTTATTATTATATTATATACATTCATTTGTACATGTATAAATCCAAGTAATGGGCATCCATCAGTCGAAATATCAGCCATGTGACTTCTTCTTGTGATTTTTCTTTGCATTTGCTGTGCAAATAGCGCAGTGTTCCACCACGTTCCCACGCTACCATGTTCCACGTTCGACTTGCGACGACTTTTCCCCCGGCTGCGTTTCATCTTTTCCACCCGACCCGTACCTTACTCCGTACAAATCAAAGCAGAAATGAAGCCAAAAAAAAAAAGCAGAAGAGATGCTACGAGGAAAACCAAGACCCAAGCGCATTCCCTGCCACTGCCATCTGCCCCACTCTGCCCCACTCTGTCGCTGCTTCTGTCAGCATCGCCAGTTGAGAAAAACTTTTTTGTTTTCCTTTGGGGCGTTTCAAATCATTTTTTGACTGATTGAATTATTAATAAAATTGATCGAAATGCAAAGAGATTCAAGCCGATGACGATAACGATGCTGGTCAACAAAAAGCGGAAAACGGAAAAGCGGAAATTTATATCATAAATTTAGCTCGTTTTTTTTTATTTTTTGGTTTTTATTTGATTGAATTGATTTTAAATGGCATGTTCCCCCCACGGTATTCCCCCCTCAAATAAGTAGGGTGTGCAGGGAGGGTAGAATGTGCTGCTCCCAATGGTGTTTACAATGTGGTCCGAAAGTGTGTTGCTGTGGTGCTGTAACTGTTGTAGGTCACATTTAATTAACACGAATTTCCATTAATATGCATTAATTACTATTGACGTGACTCTTTTTATTGGGGGTGTATGGAACAACTGATGAGACAACCACCCAACACGACACCCCAATGGGGCTCTCTTCATGTCTCATACGACATTCTCTTCCATTTAACACTCGATCTGCGAGTTCCGAGAGACTAGGTATATTCCACTGAGTGACTGACTAAAGGCAGCTGACAAATTGTGCCTCGACTGTTATTGATTCGTGCCGCTGTTGTCTGCTGCTGTTTTCCGTCCGTTGGTAACCCCGAAACAGACCCCAACAGACGCACTGGACGCACCGCGGTCAGTCCTGCTATGTCCTGTCCCCATCATTTCGAGTCCTGCTTGGTTTTATTTTTATTTTTTTTTTTGCTGCTCGGCCATCTCCAAAGTGCATAAAATATTTAAAAAATATTTTAAAATCAAAATTAAATAATAAAAAAAAATACGAGGTCTGCTGCTCTCTGCTCTCCGCCCGAAACCGAAACCCCGAAACCGGAACATGAACCACCGACCATCCCACATCCCATTGCTCCCCAATGGCAACCCAATCAAGTGGCCAATAGCTATAGCCTTTTTATTAATTAATTTATTTGGTGTTTCTCTTGCTGGTCTTGTTGCAGTCTTCATGCTGGATGCTCCACATGCTGCATGCTGATTCTTATGTCCCTGCCATTTCAATTCATTTTTATTACGAATATTATTTTAATTTGGACACCCTGCTGCAGAATATATGTGCTACATTGGGTATACATGTACATACAAGTACATGACTAAAGAAAAGACTGCCCGAGGCGATCATCGATCTGTTGATCAACCAAAAATAATCTTCACTTTGAGATTCTTTCAAGAATTGTTTGTGCGTGTGTTACGAGGGTATCTTCCATTCTCCAGTCTCCAGTCTGCAGTAATCGTGGTCTCTTTTTTCCCCAATTCGATTGCTTGCATTTCCATTTTGTTGTTTTTTTCATTTTGGTTTTGAACACTTTTTTGTTGATCTCTTTTCGGTGGGGTTGAGTTACTGTTATTAATATTAAATATTTATTTTGTGATATTTATTTAATTTGCAATTTATACTCGACTCGTCGACTCGTAATTGCAATCGGATTGAGGCTACCTACTCCACCCGCACCTCTTGCTCCTTCCAATCAACCGAACGAAAAAAAGTGTTGCCTACTTCTTCCTCCTCTGCCTGCCAGGGTTGCAAAGTTCTCTGTTGGTGGGGGGATTTTTTTTTTTTTTTTTACCAAATTGAAATCGTTTTTCGAGTGGTCTTCCCCCTTTTTTGGCCCCTGTTCGCCGCCCCTTTTGGACGGCACCGCTCTGCGCAACAATCAAAATTAAAATGAGTGGCTTATTAAAATTTTAACGCTCAAAAAGCATTTTTACTTACGTTTATTTTTCGCTTTCTGCTTGGTCAACGAGAGGGATAAGGGCAGAAGGAAGGTGGAAAGTAGGGGGAAGGTGGGGTAGGTGGAGAGGTAAGGAGCGGCACTGGGGTGGGGTGGGACTTGGCTACTTTGATGTATTTTCATATTCCGCTGAGATTCGCGAGCCACGCAATAAGTGGAAGTGCGGGAGTGCGGTAGTGTGCAGGAGAGGCGAAATAAATGGCAGGGAGAGGCAGTGGAAGAATAGCTCTCTCGCTCTCTCGCTCTCTCTCTCTCTCTCTCTCTTGTTTGGTCAGCATTCATCGTTGTATCTCTGACATTTTGAAACGCTGATTGATTTTACTTATAGTCAGAGTCTTCCATTTATTCCTTCCATTTTCATTTGCCGTTTCAATTCCCATTCCTCCGCAAAGTCCCCTTTTAATTACATTGATTTTCCTTAAATGCCGCAATTGTTCGTTCTCATCCTCTCTCTCTCTCGTCTCTCCCTTTATTTGCACATCATTAAAATTGTAAAATTATTACGAGTAAAATGGCAAAACAAAAACTAAGACAAACACGAATCTGTTGGCTGGCACTCAGTCAAGATTGGAGATTCCCTCCACTGATGACTCTCCTCGTGATGAAGCAATTCGGATAGATGAAAGATGATAATCAAATTGCGAGGAGTCTCACATTATGGCAAAACTAAGGGGCATTCCGCCAACTAACCATCCATCGGGCATGTGCATATCGCAACTATGGAAAGTTCCCCCAAATACGTCAATCATTCGAATCTACGTACAAATACGAGTATCTAATTGCATCGCGGCTTTGGATTGTTCAGTCCAAAACTTTGGCACATCCAAATTACAATTTCCTTTTACTTGTTCCAACTGAAATTTAATCGGAGTTTGATTGATTCTTTTCTAATTTCTTTCCTAATTTCATCTGAAATTCCATTGTTCTGTTCCCGATTTGTTTCACTCGCTTTAATGGACTTTTTCTCACTCGTACTCGCAGATATAATGAAATCTGATTGCTCCGATCAACCTCAATCTGCGGTGTCTGCAATCCACTCTTAGCTTTCACTCCACCATCCATCATCCACCTATCCATTTATCCATCGCATTCATTCATCCCCATGTGAATCTGTTCATCTTTATCCTCCATCCTCCATCCTCCCATCCTCCAATCCATCCTCCTCTTTGGGCGGGCGTTTTAAAATATTCAATTGGCTGCTGCTGCTCATTATTTGTTAAGTGGCTTAATGAAAGCGTCTCCCAGTGCCAGTGCCAGTGCCAGTGCCAGGGCCACCCCACTCAACTCTCATTCCATCCCCCGCGCTCTTCTGACCATTTGCCTTTAATTAAATCGCATTTTTTAATGTGTTTGCATAACTTTTGCTTACCCTGCTCCGCTCGCAATCACTCTCTCACTCTCACTCTCCCTCTTTCTCTCTTTCTCTATCTCTCTTGCAGACAAACTGGCCAGCTGCTTCGTGTGCAAGGCGGAGGCATGTCCAAGGACGCGGCCCCTGAAGAAGGGACGCGGCCAGCAGTACGGTATACCGGACGAGTCGATACCGGCGGGGGCGCGGATGTGCAACAGCTGCCAGTGCAAATCGGTGCGGAACCGCTACCCAAACTGTCCCCTGTCGACGTGCCCCAATCCCAAGGACCGGGCCCAGCGGCTGCGCAACATACCGTCGCGACTGTTCGAGCTGGCGCCCGAGGTGCGCGATCCCGTGATGACCGAGTTCCAGATACCGCCGCATGCGACGCGCTGCTGCTCCGCCTGCCTTATGCGCATCCGGCGCAAGCTCGACCCTCAGCTGAATCTCACGGACGCTGCTGCGGGAGGGGGTAGCGGCGGCGACGAAACGGATGTTAGCACCTCGTCCTGCGACGAGCGGGAGCCTGGCGGCTCCGACACCGCTTCCGTGGAGAGTCCCGAGAATCTGCAACGCCACAAGCCCCTGACCCTGACCAAGCAGCAGCAACAGCAACAGCAGCAACAGCAGCATCAGGTGGGGATACAGCTGCCCCAGCCGCCTCCACCAGTGCCCCAGCAGCATCCGCACCAACAGCAGCACCTTCATCAGCAGCAGCAGCAGCAGCAGAAACCCACGTCAGTGGGCGTGGGACTGCGTGGCGTGGCCGAGCTGCCGCTTATCATTACCCCCACGCGGATGAGCTCCAAGGCAGCGGGTGCGGACAACGAGCGTCTGCTTCCCCCGGCCGCCGGACAGGCGCCCAAGAAGCAGAAGACCAGCGAGGAGTACGACTCTTCGGCCACGGAGACGGCCGACGAGGAGAACGAGAACTCTCCGGCCAACCGCCAGAGCCCCAAGGTGCTCTTCAACGCGGTCCATGCCCACGGTCATGGTCATGGCCACGTACACGGACACGGACATGGACACGGCCATCCGCATGCACACGGCCACGGGCATGGGCACAGCCATGGGCACGGACACGGACATGGACACGGTCATGGCAGCAACAATGTGGGCGGACTGCAGCCACCAAATGCCGCAGGAGTGGGAGTGGTAATGGGAGGACTGCCGCCTGGCATGGGGCCCGGAATGGGAGTTGGCCAGCAGCAGCAGCAGCAGCAACAGCAGCAGCAGCAACAGCAGCAGCAGCAGCAGCAGCAACAGCCACAGCCGCCACCGATGAATGGACCCATCAGCATGCGCCGCGAGGCGGTCAACAATGTGCAGGACTGCGTCTTCTCCGTTATCGAGCGTTCGCTGAAGCACATAGGACCAGATCGCAAGCAGTCCTCGCAGCAATCCTCCTCAGCCGGCGGGAAGACCCCCACCCAGACCGCCTCTCAGCAGCAGCAACAGCAGCAACAACAACAACAGCAGCAGCAGCAGCAGCAGCAGCAACAGCCCCCTCCCTCCCAGCATCCGAACAATCTGGAGCGCAAGGAGCTGACTATTGTCCGGGAGTATCGGCAGGACGGGAATGCCGCTCTCATCAAGCAACAGCAGCATCAGCAGCAGCAGCAGGCGGTGTCTGGACCGCTGCCGCCCAGCGGCCTGCCACACGGTACATCCGTGCAGAAGCTGCCGTCGCGTCCAGCGGCCGTACCACCACCGTCATCCTCCAGCAGTGGAAACGGAACCAGCAGCAGCGACAACCTAGCCACCCTCTCCGTCGTCAACTCCCATCTGGGCGGAGTCGGCGTGGGCGTGGTGGGCGTAGTGGGACCGCTGACGCATCCCGGACTTATAGGCCATCCCGCCGCCACAGTCGTGGGAGTGGGAGGGGGAGTGGGTGTAGGTGTGGGTGCCAGTGTCGGGGACAAGGCCACCATTACGCCCGTTGTGAAGACCGGAATAGGTTCCGGTTCTAAGGGCGGGCTCCCGTCCAGCCACTCGGCGCCGCCGCCACCCGATACGATCATCTACAATGTCCCGACCAGCCACGGGCCGCCACCCACCCATCCGCAGCGGGGAGTGCCGCCCCCGAGCCAGCAGGTGTCGGACTCGGAGCCGCAGACCCTCGATCTGAGCATCAAGAAGCCACCGAGGGACAGGGACGGCCACTCGCCCCACACGGGACCTGGCGGATCGGGCGGATCTGGTGGTCCCGGGGGATCGGAGCGCCACCATGTGCCGCCGCCCTCGATGTCCAGCGCAATGAAGCACATCGTCCGATCCACGGCCATGTATCGTGGGGAGGCCGTCTCCGTGCCCACCCTGGCGACGGCAGGCTCCTATATGTACCAGCAGCCGCACGGCCCGCTTAAGGTGACGGGCGGACCCGGAGTGGGACCCCTGGCCGGAGCCGGGCCCGGACCGGGCGGCTCCATCTACGTCCAGCCAGTACCAGTACCTGTACCCATCTCCATTGGCCAGGGCCAGATGCCGCCGCGCTCCAGCCAGCCGCCCCCGGCCCAGCCCCAGCACCAGGCGCAGCCACCGTCGAGCGGACGAGTGTCCTCCAAGGTGCAGCCGAAGCTCAGTCCGCAGCAGGCGCATCACCTGCATCCGGCCCATGCCCAGCACGGCCCCCATCCCCATCCGTCGCACCATCCGTCGGGCCACCCATCGCATCCATCGCATCCTGCGCACCCGTCGCACCCGTCGCATGCATCGCCCTCCCAGCAGCAGCAGCAGCAACAGCTGCTGGTGAAGAGCGGCTCCATCACGCACGGAACCCCGGCGAACAGCGCCCAGCAGCAGATCATTGTGCACGCAGCGACCTCCTCGTCGATGCTCAGCCCCAAGTTCGAGAGCATGGTGCGCCAGACGCCGCCGGGAGTGGTGTGTCCGCCGGACAGCGGCAAGCATGGCTCCATCACGCAGGGCACGCCCCTTCATCTGCCGCAGCACCACCTGGACAGCAAGCGGGCCTACGACTTCTACAAGAGCTCACAGCGCCACAGTCCCGCCCAGGCGGGGCCCGGCTCTGGGCCAGGTGGGCCCGTTCCCGGCCAGCTGCCGCCACCACCGCAGCAGTCCTCGCCCCAGGCACCGCCCCCGCAGGGATACGGCGTCGGAGTGGGCTCTCCCTACGCCCGCTCCCCCTTCGGCAGCTTTGTGGAGCAGGCGCCAGTGCTGAGCACGCGGCAGATCGTGACGCACGACTACATAACCTCGCAGCAGATGCAGGGCCAGCAGCAGCAGCGCAACGTATCCCGCGGCAGTGCCAGCGACAAGGACAAGGAGTCGCCCTCGCCACGCAACAGCGTCGGCAGCAGTAGCGGCGGCTTTGCCTACGACAAGGAGCCGACGCCCCGTGGCCGACCCGAGTACTCGAGCCGTGCCTCCCCGGCAGACCATGCCAACAGGTGAGTGTGCCCCAGCTCCAGCCCCAGCCCCAGCCCCAGCCCAGCAAGAGCCACCAGAATGTGTGACTAATCCTTGCACATCTCTCCACAGCACTCCCAGTCCACATCGTACACCACCGCCGCAGCGCCAGGGGGTGATACAACGCCACAACACAGGCTCCAAGCCACCCTCGCCCGCTGCTCCGCCGCCTAGCCGCATGCACATCGTGACGCCCTATCAGTATCCACCAGGTGAGAGAGAACCCCCTAACCCTAACATTCACCCCCTGCAGCCACAGACTCTAATTGAATCTCTTGTATCCACAGCTGGCCACGATGCATTGGCCTCGTTTGTGGACGTGGCCGTGCAGCAGCCGCAGCTTCCGGTGCCTTCGCAGAAGGGTGACAAGTCGCCAGGATCTTCACAGCCGGTCGGAGGGGGGCCACCAGGTCTGGGTAATCCACATGCCGGACCACCGGTCCCGCCGCCACACTCTGTAGCTGTCTCCCAGGTACCGCCGGCGGCCCATCACGACATGCGGTACCGCGATCTGGCCATGCACCACCAGCAAATGGCCGCAGCCGTGGCCGTACACCAGCACCAGCAGCAGCAGCTTGTCCAGCAGCAGCAGCTTGTCCAGCAGCAGCAGCAGCAGTACCGCCAGCACCTGAACGCCGCGGCCGCTATGCACCTGCAGCGGAGCGCGCGAGACCAGCGCCAGCAGCTGCAGCACAATCATGCCATCGAGCGGGATCGCGAGCTGCTCCAGAACCAGGAGCGGATACAGCGCGAAAGGGACCGCGAGCGGGAGCGCGAACGGGAGCGTGAACGAGAGCGCGAGCGGGAGAGGGAGCGCGAGAGGGAACGGGAGAGCGAACGGGAGCGAGAGCGTCGCGAGCAAGACAGGGAGCGTCGCGTGGTGGCCGAGGAGCGTGAGCGCCGCATCGAGCGGGACCGCATTTTTGCCGGCGGCGTTGTGACTACAGCCGGACCCGGTGGCCCACCACCGCCAGGACACTACATACGCGCCCCAGTCCCCGAGACAGGACCACCGCGTTCCATTCCCGATCGGGAGCGAGAGTAAGTACATGAAACATCTGAAGCCTGCTTGTAAGAGCCCGTGCTGCGATAGAGTGCGATAGAGACGGATTGTGGGGAATAGAAAGGGTACGCACAGGTTGTGCGGGAGGGAGCTCTAGCACTGGATTCCACTAATTTGCACAGCTAAATGGGATTCCGAAGATATGATATCCGACATGAAACTCGCTGGCACACTCCCCTGCAGATCCTCTCTGAAATATACCTGTCGATAGCTATCCCTAGAATTCTATCTTAGAATTTGTTTTTGTATGGTACATCGCCCAATGACAATGATAATAACAACGGGAATGCAAGGGTTTCACGCATTAATTGCCTAGGCTAAAACGGGAGGACTTTATTAACATTTAAACCACTATAAACCTGTGCTAATCGCCATTTCACCATTCTCAGATACTATCGGCCCCCACTTGCCAGCCAGCCGACTGAGGATACCCCTGGCCAGCTGAGCGCCCAGAGCCTGATCGATGCCATCATCAAGCACGAGATAAGTCGCACCAACGACGCCACCGGCGCCACCGGGCGCGAGTTCCCGCGACCCTCATTCGTAAGTCATCTAGAGCTGAACAGAACCAAAAGTGAGGCAAAGGGAGGCATCCCGAACTAACAGCAAGTTCTTCTTCCCACCCCACAGCAATACCATCGACAGACGTTGGAGCTGGCGGCGGAGAACAACGGAAAGGCCAACTCTCAGTCCCCGAACGTCATCAACATTGATCTGGACCAGGAGCGGCTCTCCGCCGCAGCTGCCGCGGCCACAGCTGCCATCCAACAGCAGCAGCAGCAGCAGCAACAGCAGCAGCAACAGCAGCAACAACAGAAGCAGGGTCCTCCACCACAGCAGCAGTCGAGCCAGTCGCGATCCGTTCACGGATCGATGCGCGGCCAGCCGCATACGCCCACATCCCAGGCGCAGGGCCCCGGACCGGCACCCAGTCCCCAGCAGATCCACACCAAGAGCATAACCTTCGGGGAGCTTACCGACTCGATCATCACCAACGACTACGTCTCCAATCCACACATGGGTCGCATGTGCGAGCCTTTCATGACCTACATGGAGAGGCCGCCGCAGGCGATGCTGCCACCGGACCGCTGGAAGCAGAACCGGCGCATGCAGCACAAGGCCGAAGAGGCCAAGCACCAGGCGCAGCAGCAGCAGCAGCAGCAGCATCACCACCAACAGCAGCAGCACCACCAGCAGCAGCAGCAGCAGCAGCAGGGCATGCCCGGCAGCGGTGGTCCTGGTGGGGGACCCCAGTGTGGGACCAGGATCCTCCGGAGGTCCGCCCGGCGGCAGGGCAAACACGCCCGAGGACGGACGCAACATCATCCGCATGCCCCAGGCGGTCAGCCCTCGTAAATACGCCCACGAGCTGATGCTCCACCAGGCCGCTGTGGTGGCCGCCGTCGGCGGAGAGCCCGGCCACTACTTCCTGCCCGGCCCCGGGTCGGTGGTGGGTCGCGTAGGCGTTCCTCCGCCCCCCGATCAGCGTGTGCCAGGCGGAGGCGGTGCAGGGGGTTCGGTGACCACCATCGATAACTACGTGAAGAACCGCATCGCGGAGGTGATGCGCGACGACATCGGCTACGCCAAGAACCGCATCGTGGAGGTGCGCTCTGATGACGATCCTGGCGATCTGGTCGCCCAATCGCACGCAGCCGCAGCAGCGCACGCCGCTCACGTGGCCCACGCGGCCCACGCAGCCGCCTTGGAACACCAGCAACAGCAGCAGCAGCAGCAGCACCGCAGCAAGGATCCCCAGCAGCCGCCGCCGTCGCATGAGATCAGTGTATCCCGAAAGACGCCCAACCAGTACGAGGTGGTCGACGGCAGCGGCCGTCGCTCGGGCGGTGCCGGCTCCAACAGCCATCATCCGTCGGCCTACCACCCGCCACCGCCGGCCTTCGCAGCCAGCACTTACACCTACCCGTTCAGCGCACTGACCGTGCCCAGCGCAGCGGGCGGACTGCCGCCGCCGCCGCAGGCCATGCAGCTGGCGCACCAGCCAGCGCCGCCCAGCCACCTGAGCGCCAAGGCCAAGGCGGCGCACGCCCTGAGCGAGCTTGGTGGCGTGGGCGGGGGTGTCAGCCTAGTGGTAGGCGGCGGCGGAGTCGGCCTCGGACCCGGTGGCGTGGGTGGCCCGGGGGGCGGTGGCATTGTCGGACAGGGAGGCGGCTCTCTGAGTGCCAGCGTATCGGTGGCCGCAGCTGCGGCCGCTGCGGCGGCAGCAGCAGCAGCGGCCAGCGAGCCGAAGCCTCTGCTGTCGTCCAAGTACGAGGCACTCAGCGACGAAGATTAGTTGTGACTGCAGGCGTCGTCGTCGGGTCTACGACATCTGACGGCAGCAGCGACGGCGCCTCCAGCAGCAGCATCAGCAGCAGCAGCGGCAGTCAACCCCCTCAGCTCGTTGAGCTTGGTCTACGGCTACGGCTATCGACGGCTCCATCCGTCCGTGCAGCCGGCGCACTCTCACCCGCACGCGCTGCCGCTTCCGCTCCCGCTCACACACCAGCACTCGCATCCACATGCCCAGCAGCTCCCGTTGCCGCTATCACTAACGACGCATCAGCAGCCATCGCCCCGACATCACTACCAGCCGACGGCGCTGCCACCGCCCCTGCAGTCGCAGCAGCAGCAGCAGCAGCAGCAGCAGCAACAACAGCAGCAACAGCAGCAACAGCATCACCAGCAACAGCAGCAACAGGCAGCACAGGAGGCGGCGCATCAGCAGGCGGCGCAGCGAGCACATCAGCAAGCGGCAGCGCAGCAAGCGCATTTGGCGGCACAGGAGGTGGCGCAGCAGCGGGCGGCCCAGCAGAGGGCGCTGTACTACGCAAGCGAGCATTACGCGGCCAGCGGCGGTGGCAGCGCTGCCGGCGGTAATCCGGGCTACTACTGACACCAGCAGGATCGTATGTAAAGAGCGAAACGATGCACCAACAACTATCTATATACCGATACAGATGCAGATACAGATACCAATACCAATACCAATATACCTATCTAAAAACTAAGAGAGAGAAAATGTAAAAAGTAAAGCACAGCAGAGAAAAGAGCGTTGGCACAGGCAATAGGCAATAGTAAACACAGAGAGCGAGAGAGACAGAGAGAGAGAGAGTGAGTAAGTGATCTAGAGGGAGATAGCTAAATGATTCCTAAATTCTTTGCACTCCTCGCTGCCTCCCTTCCAGACACACACACAAACACACACACACACACACACACACACACACCCACTGTTAGTGTAGTTAGGATTAGCACAAAAGGAAGAGAGCGAAAAAAAAATAATAAAATTTGAACTGGAAATCGGCAAATTGAAAATCTATTTGACGTCTAATTAAACCTGAAGCCGAAATTAGAAATGAAATTTTGTTGTTGTTGGACTGGTATCTATGTTCATACCTACGACGCCACCCCATCCTACCCCTTATTCACCCATTGAGAGACAGAAGCAGACCTGCTGCTGCTGCTGCTCCTGCAACTCTTGGGTCCCACTCTCGACTTCTCTCGACTCTCCTTTCCACTATACTCTCTCTCTCTCTTAGATGACACACACCCACATGCACTCTCTTTAGATACTTAGATCATTAGCTACCCGCGCCCGTCCGCCCCGCCCCCGCCCCACCATTGGGAGAGACCCCTTGGGCTTTCTCTAAATGTCCTTTGTACTGTTTCCGTATTGTGTGTGTGTGTAAGTGTATTTTGTGTTTGGTGTTCATTTGCTGTCGTGCAACAAGTGTTTCCTCCCCCAACCCCTTCCTCCACAATCCCAATAGCTAACCTCAAAGGCGGCAGAACATTACGAATGGTAGTGACAAAAAAAAACTATACATATATACATATACATATATATATACCACATAAATGCATGTGTAACAAGAAGCCACACACAATATACAACTACACACACCGTAAACGTATAGTTAAGAGTAAATCAAGAGGATATTTATAGAGAGAGAAACACACACTGTTGGGCTGTTCTAGGAAAAGAGAAAAAGATCTAAACATGAAAGAAAAAAAGAGAAGAAAGTAAATTTATTATTGTAAACTGTATCATCCCTCTCCCTCTCCCGCCCCCTCCCAAAACACACACATTATTTAAACGACTTTTTGTAAATTTCATAAAAGAAAGAAGAGAAAAAACTGCGCTTAAGTTTAGCGTGAGCTTCGTTTCAATCGATCTTATCTATACGTACTACTCTCCCCCCCACCCCCTTACGATTACGATTATTATTCGTTTATATATATATATTCTATTTTTTTTCCCATTTAAATAAGAAAAATTAATTTACGAAGGATTTTTCTGTGTGTTGCATCCACTGTAAGCGAACGCTATTATTGGATTATGATTATGTACTACGTTTATTGCTAAGCTAATGAAATGTCGCTTGTAAGTAAAATAAAGAGAACCACATGCAAATGACACATACGATACACATGTAATGGCTAGAGTTATGCAAGAAGAGAACAGGAGGCAACACGCACCTGTGTGGGCATTCATCTATGATAGTTGATGGAGAAAGCATTATACATATATATACAATATATATTGATGGTATGTGTGTATGTATGTATGTATGGATGCATGTATGTATGTATGTTTGTATGTATACGTGAATATATATGGGATAAAAATATGCATATTTTTTTTATATAAACCCTTATGTCTTACGAAACAGTTTAGTATTTAGCTAATTTACTGTTTAATTCGTTTTTTTTTTCTTAACTTATTTTTTTACTTGCAAACGCAAAAAAGAAGAATGAAACCAATTGAAAACCCACAAAACAAAATAATTTAATATTTTTAATACATAATGAAACTACAAAAAATAACACTATATGTATACATAATATATATATATATATATTATAAAGTAAACAACAAACGCTAAGACTTATTCAACAAAACAGAAAACTGTAAAATATTAACGGAAAATGATAAATATATAGATATATATATGTGAATGTAAAAGCTAACGGTAACGATACCGATAAAGATAATGATAACGATACAAATATTCATTGAAGCGGAAACGGAAATAAAAATGCTATAAGAAACATGTAACGCAACTCTGGCCGTCAGAGCAGAAGCAACGTTTTAGTTAAGAGCATAACGCGTATTTTTTTTTAAATATATATATATACATATATAAAACAAATTAAATAATGAAACAAATTCTATATATACAGAAACCAATTTTACAAATATATATATATATATATATATATATATATATGAATAAATGTATGTAAAACGGCTAAACATTATAACTAACAAATTGAACGGCGTCCGGGGCCCATGTCGGGTGGGTTATTGTGGGGTTGTGGCTTGGGGTATGGGTTCTGGTTGGGTTGAGGTGATGTGGGGTGAACGGAGCCTGAACTAGGACGGGGACGGACAGACTCATGGACACATGCTTGGCCTGAAACAGAGCCAACAACACAACGAAACAGCTTGCCGGTTGCCCCCCCCCCACTCGACCCGATCCTGACCCAATTCCAATTCCAATTCCAAATCGATTCGATCTTCGATAAAGAGCACTTTCTATACATATAATTATATAAAAAAAAAAAAATTAAAATATGTATGAACAAAAATAACCGAATTTTAAAGATGTGCGAAAGCGCTAGTCTATGGATGTAAAACAAGAAAAAGCGCATTGAGACGATTTAAGCAAACCACAAGTGGAAATTCGCGTATATTGGAGGAACTTTCTATTGTTTTGGATCTATTCTGTTGTTGGAACAATACAAAAATCTATAAATTAGACGGTAAACAAAAATATGGTGAACAAAAAAAGTTTTTGAAGACATCATCGATAACAATAAAACAATATTTATGAAACAAGATGGAAACAGATCCGAGCGATAAATGGTAAAACAAGCATGCAGTGCGGGGGAATATGCATACAATGTGCAACGAGGCGCAGAGCTGGAGCTAATTATGATCGATAGCATGATAATGATGTTTAGCAAATAAGTTTTAGTTTGTAACCTTATGCCTTAAGTTGTAAGCTTAAAAATAATAATATAAAATTAAATACAACATATTAAAAAAAACAAAATATAAATAAAAATAAAAGAAATATAAACAAATAAAAAAAAGATGTGTCTAACAAAATTTGTTTTGATTTTGTTTCGTTTTGGATTAGATGGATTTCTTCTTTCATTGCTGAAGGATTGAAAGGATAAAGGACTTTATAAGAATGCAAATTCTGCCGATCATACGAAGCCATGGCACGCCCAAATAAAGTACAGTAAAACAACAGTATTTTAATTATGCACCCAGATCGCCGAAGGACCGTTTTTTTCCAGGATCGTGAGGAGCCATGAGCTGTCGATCGGCATCAAAATCTATTATCAAATGATGTTAATTTTGTTTTTTTAAATTTATTGATCCCATTAGATTTGGGATAAAAGGAGCATTTAAATCAAAAGAAGGTCACTGGTTTTTGTTTGTTTCTTTCCACTTTTGTACAACAACTTGGAGCTACTACAACCACAGGGAGCCATGTCCCACGCAAAACAGCTCTCAACTGGCCGAAAACGGAATTTTCAAATGATATTTTATTTTTAAAAGGGAGAGTCCTGCCAATTAATTGGCACCCGAAAAAGGGAAAACATATTTACGTTATTTTCAAACCAGCCTGAAAATATGCCATCATTTCTAAATAAATCCACATCTTGAGTGGCTGCTTCGAAAGATGGAAAGCTTGCAGCTATGGAACTATGGACTATTTCCGGGGTGGCTGGGCGAGAATAGGGGTGAGGACTGGGACCACTAACAGGAGCATGAACATTGCCACTGATACTGTTAAGTGTGATAGCAACCCACTAAGCCACATAAATTTAAAGCGTGAAAATGCCAGCGGCCTGCTAGCAGAGGAGCCATATCAGAGTCGGCTTTGGAGAGCCCCTCCATCGGACGCCATCAGTGCGCAGAGAAGGCAGAATTTGTGCATAATTTCTCTTAGCTTTTGTTGGGGCCTTGGGTACTTCCGTGGCAGCGGCAGCGTTGTTTACAATTTCTCGACGTGTCAAAAGAGTCAACGTGAATGTGACAAGTGACACTAGCGAGGCAGGTCCCGGCTTGCAAGCCTGGCTTCAACTTCTTCTTCACCACGATCTCTTTCTCGTGCTCTTCTCTTTGTCCCGTAGAACCTCATTAAATGCGTGGGCATTGGCCCTACAATGGCAGTCGTTTTGGAATAACTACGGGGTTTTGGAAGGAAGAAAGCTTACCGTACTAAAAGACTATAAAATAACAAGATAACAATATGCTGCTTGAGCGACCAAAAACCGGTTCTATGGCTGGCTTATCGCTACGTCCCATGCACAGAGAGAGCGCGCGGGCTTTCAATTCTCTCTTCGTCTTTGCTTCGTCTCTGACCGAAAGCCCGCTGCCCAACGGCTTCGTCTGTGCATGCATGCGCATGCACTTCGCACAGTGGGGCCTTTGCCTATATCAGCTGACTAAATTAATAAGCGAATAAATTGAATTATTCATTTTATCCAGAGCACTAATAAATTGTTTGACTTGTGCAACCCCTTTCGGCAGATTCCACACTGTGCAGCGCCAAAGACTTTAGCATTGACGAAGCATTTCAGAGCTCAAAAACGAATTGAAGAAGCCCCGCGAGCCCGTATCATGCAGCGGCAAACTAAAATTGAAAGGGCATTTTTTTCTCAGGCAGCATCT